AAACAGGAACTGACTGGTTGGTAACGAGGGAGGCAAGGACCCGGGGAACAAGAGGACGAGCGGCACGAAGGTAGTCAGACAGTGGGGGAGGCGTGACAACAATTGAGAACGGGGGAGGCGACTGTAGGAGAGGAGGACGAGACGTGTGGGAACAAAGCAACATAGGGTGAGAATGCGGAACAGGGGAGGTAGGACGAGCATGAGAGGGACGGCGAGACCAGACGTGAGACGGAGGCGTCGGGTCAGGAGACACAGGAGGAGACACAGGAGGGGAATGCGGGGGAAGCCGAGCCGGAGACGAGTCCGGAGGAGGGAACACAGGGCCATAGACAGGAAGAGGAGGAGACGGTAGGAGAGGCGCAGACGCGCGGTCAGGGGAGGGAAGGCCGAGCAGCCGGAGGGCGGACACCAGCGGCGATCTCCGCTGCTGCGGCTGCACGACGTCAGCACCTGGACCGCCAGCTGCTCCACGGCTACCTCCGGAACAGTCCACTCCAGCACCCCCAGAAGGAACATCTCCAGAACCATAGACCCGCTCAGCACCGGCACCACCACCAGACCCACCGGGACACGCCACACCAGGAACCCCAGGACTAGCACCCTCCTCAACTCCAGCACCCCCAAAGGGCACAAACGGCTGCTGCGGCGGCGACAACGGCGATTGCGGCTGCGACGGTGGCTGCGGCTGTGACAGCGGAGGAGGAGACAATGGGGAGGGGGCAGGCGGCGAAGACTGTGCCGCGGGGCCACTAGAGTCAGCAGACTCCTCGACCGGGACAACAGACTGGAGGGGGGTGACGTGAGATACACCAGACGGGGCAGGACGGGGAGGTGGGGAAGCAGGGACGAGCAAGGAGGGGCAACCAGGAACGGGGGGGGGTTACCGGGGGACCACGGTGGGGAAAACGGTGGTAGAAGGAGATGGACTCATCAAAGGTGACGTCATGAGAGTGAAGGAACCGGTGAGAAGGCGGGTGGTAGAGTGCCAGTCATACGAGTCGAGGGGGAAACCAAGGAAGACACAGGGGGCGGTGCGGGTAGTGAGCTTGTCCGTGCCAGAGGCACGAACGTGAGGAAGGCAGCCCCAGACGTGGAACGCAGACGCGTCACCGGGAGACCTAGTCCAGAGGAGGGTCGGCGAAACCTGCGGCCGCCTAGGGTGCGGCCACAGGTTAAGCTGGTGAGTGGCGTAGCGAACGGCGAACGGCCACAGAAAATGGGGTGCACTGGCATGGATCATGGAGGTACGAGCCACCTCAATGACGGAATCGATGTGTCGCTCAGTGACCCCATTTTGCTGCGGTGAGTCCGGCAATGTGAACGTCTGGGTGATGCCCTCCGCACAACAGAAACGCAAGGCAACCGGAGGCGAACTCGCCATCGCGGTCAGAGTGGAGACGCAACACAGGGAGACCTCGGTGCACAACGCGCAGAGACAAGCCACGGGATAAGAATGTCAGGCACGTCAGCCTTCCGCTCCAGAGGAAACACGGTGGTGTAACGAGTGTAGTCGTCAACAAGGACGAGGAAGTAATGCTCACGACGCAACCCATGAACGGGGGCATGGTCCCAGACGTCCATAAGCAAGGTCTGCAAGGGTGCGGTGGTGGGGGGGAACGAGGAGGAGTGAGGGGCATGGCGGAGTCGGCCCTCGACACAGGGGGTGCACGGCGGCGCGGGTGAGGAGGGGAGCACGGGGAACGACACAGGGAGACCTGGAACAAGACCGTGCTGAGACATATGACGAAGACGAGGGAGGGCAGGGTGACCCAGGCGGTGGTGCCACAGCACTGTCGGGTGAGTGAGCGACCGACACGAGCAAGACGCAGCTACCTGAGGAGACTAAGGTACCTGGAGAGACGGCCCAACCGGGGGGGGGGCGGTGTCCAGCGTGAACAGGCCAGACACCGGGTGCCGGGGGAACGTGGTGAGGGGAGCACCGGTGGCGGCCTCGGTACAGATGGCGTAATGCTCGTGACCAGGGAACGTAGTGGTGACGCCAAGGTCCTGAAGGCAACCGACATCAACTAGGTTCCTAGAGAACAAGGGGATGTGCAGGCCTATAAGTGAGCCAGAAGGAGCTGCCGGAGAGGGAAGGGTAGTGGAGCTACGAGCTACGACAGGGCCGGAGGAAGGTTCAGCCAGGGAATCTGTGGCGGGAGCTGCAAGCGGCGTGAGAGTAGTGGGGTCCCAGAAGAAGCACCGGGAAGCGCCGGAGTCGAGGGTGAAGGAGAGCGCGGCAGTGGCGGCAGGAGCCGTAGGGGCGACAGAGGAGCCTAAGCTAAACAAAGCAGGGGATCCTACGCCTGGCGCAGCAGGGGAGTCTGACCTAGGAACACCTACACAAGGCAACCCGGGGTAAGCTGAACCAATCACACTAGAGTCATCAACAAACAGCACATACAACGCAGATTTAATCTCATCCATGTCCATATCAAAGATCTGAACACCCTGACGGAGCAAGCTGAGCCAGTCGGGGAGGTCGGGCGACGGGCCGAAGCGGAGACGAAACAGGTCCTCCAGGCGACTGAAACAGCAGGTGGGGGTGTGACCGATCTTATCGCACATGAGGCAACGGCGAGGACCGGTCTTGAGCTGGTACTGGCAGCGCCCGTCGCCCGAACAACCACCCGACATCATGCCGCGCGCACGAGCACCGCGACCACCGCCGCCACCAGTGTCGGGCCACCCGGGCGGGAGACGACCAACCCGCCGCTGCTGCTGCTGCTGTCGCGGCAGCTGCTGCTGCTGCAGTGGCTGTTGCTGCTGCAGTGGCTGCTGCGGCTACTGCGGCAGCGGCTGCTGATCCTGCGGCAGAACCTGCTGCTGCGGCTGAGGCTGCTGCTCGGCGGTGCTAGACCCAGCGCCCTCATCAACACTCCCTGCGGGCGACCCGGCTCCACCACCTCCTCCACCCCCACCCCCTCCACTACCATCGCTGCCCCCCGCCTTGGGGCGGTGGCCGTTTCCCGGACGGAACTACGCTGCAGCGGCCGTCTCAGCCACGGCAGTAGAGCCGCCAGAGAAAGTGCATTGAGCGGGCGCATAGCCCTGAAAGATAGAGACTGGCACACTACCGTTGGACTGGGCGATAGAGCGCTGGCGGGTCTCTATGGCAGACAGGGTGTCGACAAAGTCAGTGAGGGTGAGGTCGGTGGGGTGGAGACTAAGAAAACGATCGCGGGCAGTAGCAAGGCGGTCAGGGAGGCGGGTGGCAAGCAGGTAGAGGGTAGCACAGAAGGGGGGCTGGAACACGCGGAGCTGGGCCTCAGTGCAGGCAGAGCGCTAGGTCGAGTCTAGCGTGCGCAGGTGGGCGGCTAGGTCAGCGACAGTGGGGAAAGATGCGAGATCAGGGAAAAGCAGCGGCAGGACCAGGCGACCGACGGAAGGAGCGGGCTGGGTGGAATAGCGCGCAATAACTGCCTCTAGGAATGTATGCGCAATCGTGAAAGACCTAAAGCGGGGACGCTCAGACAGGGGAATGGCATGACTGATCGCGAGCTGCGCAACCGCGTCACGCGACAGCCAAACTGCACGAGCAAGGGCTGCAGTAGCAGCGGACTCACGATCAGCAGACGTGGAGTTAGCAGGCAGTGCAGCAGGGGGGTCAGGGCAGGGGAGCGTACCGTCGAGGTGGACAACTAGGGAGTGGCCGTCCTGCCGCTGACCAGTGAGCTGACGGCGGAGGTCGACGAGCCACGTGTTGAACTCGATTGGCTGACCCTCCGCGTCAAAGCGTAGCACCGAGTCCGCCATCAAGAGCGATGCAGCGGCAGCGCAGTGCTGAACAACGCGGTACAGTGCAGTGCAGTATGGTGCAGTGCGGTACAGTGCGGTGCAGTGCAGTACAGTATGGTACAGTGTGGTACAGTGCGGTACAGTGCGATGTAGTACAGTACACTGCGGTGCAGTGTGGTACAGTGCGGTGCAGCGCGGTGCAGAGCGGTACAGTGCGGTGCAGCGCGGTGCAAAGCGGTTAAGCGCGGTGCAGCACTGTGCAGGGGCCGGTTGCACGTCAGGGGCAGCTGGGCGACGGAGCCGGGCTACGGGGCAGGCGCGGACCAGCGACGGGACGGGTGCAGGGCCAACTACGGGCCGGGTGCGGGCCGGGCGCAAGCCAGCTACGGGATGGGCGTGGGCCGGTGTCGGGGCGGGCACGGGCAGGTGACGTAACGGGCGGGGGCCGGCTACTGGACGGGCGCGGGCCGGCTACGGGACAGGCGCGGGCCGGCTACGGGACAGGCGCGGGCCGGCTACGGGACAGGCGCGGGCTGGCTAGGACGGGCGCTGGCCGGCTACGAGACGGGCGCGGGCCGGAATGGGGCAGGCGAAGGGCCGGCTACGGGCGCGGGCACGGAACGGGCCGGGGAGGGGCGCGGAACGGGCCGGCTACGGGCGCGGGCCGGCTGCTGGACAGGCTGGCTAGGAGCGCGGGACGAGGCCGGCTACTGGACGGGCCGGGTACGGGTAAGGGCGAGGGCCGGCGACGGGACGGGCACAGGACGGGGCCGGCTACGGGACGGGCCGGCTACAGGCGCGGGTAGGGGCCGGCTATGGGACAGGCGCGGGCCGGCTACGAGGCGAACGCGGGCTGGCTACGGGTCGGGTGCGGGCCGGCGACGGGCACGGGCGCGGGCCGGCTACGGGACGGGCACAGCTACGGGACGGACGCGGGGCCAGCTACGAGGCGGGCGCGAGCCACCTACGGGGCGGGCACGGGCCGGCTACGGGACAGGTGCGGGCCGGCGGCCGACTAGGGGCGGGTCGGCTAGGGGGAACGGGCCGGCTGGGGGGAAAGGGCCGGCTAGGGGGAACGGGCGGCTGGGACCTATGGCGGAAGCGCTGGTGGGCGAGCGGGACCTAACCTACTCATGATACCATGTTAGAATGCTAGAATGAACTACTAGAATGTGAGAGTACAAGAGAATATAGGGTAGTGTAGTACCCTCTAAGGCACAAACCTATACAATCTACAATAACATATTACGGTAAGATATGTTTTGACAATACACAGTATATTTGTTGAGACCGAGGGCCCGAATTCAAGTAACAAAAGGAAGCACATTTGTGAAAAAAAAATCACTGAATAACATCCTCACAACATCCTCCCTTCATGCAACCAACACTTAGCTGCTTCGCATTTGTGATCGATACATACCGGTACGCACATTCGCAGATATCTACTCCTGTTACCGTACCTCACAGATGCGACACACCCATGAGACTGTTTATTAGTAAACCATCCCATAGAGCATTACCACCAGACACAGCTCGTGCCAGCAATGCAGTTTCATTTTCAAGATGCATCTTGCATGTCCTCATCTCCCCCTTCTCCCCCTTCTTCTCCGTCTCCCTCCTCTTCCTCCTCTTCCTCTTCTTCCTCCACCGCTTCCCCTCGCCGTCTTCTCTCGAACTTATCAAACGCAGCTTCAAAAGTGCGGCTCACGTGCTCACAGAACCCAGCCAGCTCCAACAGCCCGTCTTTCAGCACCTCCCTTGCAGGCTCACCTGGTCAGGCAAGGGCATAGGTTGGTAAGAGCATCGGAGTGAAAGAATAGACATGTGAGTGGGTCCATACAAGGTTCAAAATTACGGCGTTTTTTTATATTTTTAGTCCGTATTATACGGTTTCGTTATTTACGGCCATATAATACGAATATTACGGTTCGAAATCACCTTTTTTGGGTTGGTTAAAAAAAACGGCCGTTTTTTACGGCCGTTTTTTTGAACCAGTGGTGTACATTCAGAATGTCGAATTCCGTATCAGGATTTTGGGGATGGGGGTACACGCGCACCCCCGAATGTTCATAAGTCAACGTTTTCCCGAAGCGCGAAGTCACTCGAACCCCGAGTCGCGCATTTTACCGAATTTCCCTGGACCGTTACGAAAGAACCCCCCCTTCGCGAAACCCGTTGGTTCCTTTCGCGCCCAGTAGGGTGGTTTCGCGCATTTTGCGAAACCCCCCTGCCGAAGCGCGTTTCGAAAACAGAACCCAATGGATTTGGGTTCTCTTCGAAGCCTTTCTCAACCCAAATTCGAAGTCGTGAGATACAAATACGTAGGACGTTTTGTAAGCTGCCACAGGACTTAGTTTGGAGCGTTTTTCTAGCTGAAATCTAAGCCAGTTTACTCTACCGCATAGCAACTTCAGATTTCCTTGACATCGCTGACTTAAAACACCTCCGACCTGTTTCCGGCGTATTTAGACAGCGTCGCAGAGATGGGCAGGGCGGATGAGGACGAGGAGGAGGAGGAGGAGGAGGAGGAGGATGAGGAGAATGAGGGGGAGGAGGAGAAGGCGTAGAGTAGGAGTAGGATGAGGAGAAGGTAGCATGTGCAAGTGTAGGGATTAGGTGCAAATAGGGGTCATGCCTGTCTGCAGGTCGTGTTTGTAGGTGCCATGGTGCACTATTAAGCATTCAGTTTACGTTGGAGCCGCTTAGGAGCCAATCTCCCTCGAAAAAAATATATTCAAGTGCTCTATTTAAATTACGCCGTTTTTTTCCGAAACTGCCCGAAAAAACGGTCGTAATTTACAGTCTGTATTTTTCGAAAACCGTAATTTTGAACCTTGGGTCCATAGGCATGTGAGTGGGGGCATAGGCATGTGCGTGGAGTGATAGGCATATTAAGAATTCTGAATGTAGATGAGAACATAGGCATGTCACAAGCACATGCATATGCACTCATGGGTGGGTCCCCAACTTCCCTTCACAAAAACTTAAACAAGAGTGTGCGGTGATCCCCGGAGAGTAGCGACCTTGAAGTTTCTGGATGATAGGTCCTACCGTGACATGCGCTCTTGAAACTTTACCCTCTCCCCTCACCTGTGGTTTGCACTCGGATGTTCACTTTGTGCTCTGACGGGTGTGGCACGGAGTAGCCGCAAAAGCTCACACGAGGGCTGCTTGTAACGGGGATGGATAGAGGATGCAGAGAGGGAGGGTGGAAAAGGGAGGAGAGGAGTTGGGGGGTGGGAAGGAGGGAGGAGGGGGAGAAGAGGGGGGGGGGAGACGATGACGTGGCATGCCCAAGACAAGTGTGAGGACGGGGCACTCAGATCAGGAACTGCAGGTCCGTGAATGAGCAACAGAGGGGACGCGCAGCGATAATGAGGCACCATGGAGGCAATCTCGAAAACGCAAAAGACTTAGCAAGAAGAAACTTGAAAAAAAAAGTTCAGGGTTGAGGGCTTCCCCTAGGGTTCGGGGTCAGGGTTGTCCCTAGGGTTCGGGGTTAGGGTTGTCCCTAGGGTTCGGGGTTAGGGTTGTCCCTAGGGTTCGGGGTTAGGGTTGTCCCTAGGGTTTGGGGTCAGGGTTGTCCCTAGGGTTCGGGGTTAGGGTTGTCCCTAGGGTTTGGGGTCAGGGTTGTCCCTAGGGTTTGGGGTTAGGGTTGTCCCAAGGGTTTGGGGTTAGGGTTGTCCCTAGGGTTTGGGGCCAAAGGCTTTTCCTAAAGTTTTCAGCGGGTTTACGAACTTCACTAAGCTCGCAGAAGCAGGCTACAGGTCTCTGGGAGTGGCCGACGCGTCCAGACGCAGGCGTCACGTTTAGAAACAGGCTATACTTGTAGAAGCAGGCGACACGTCCTTGACACTTCGCTAGAAGCACGTCTCTAGAAGCACGTCTCTAGAAGCACGTCTCTAGAAGCACGCGTCTAGAAGCACGTCTCTAGAAGCACGCCTCTAGAAGCACGTCTCTAGAAGCACGTCTCTAGAAGCACGCCTCTAGAAGCACCTCTCTAGAAGCACGTCAGTAGAAACAGGCGACACGCACTCCTGGTTGAGCATGAAGCGCACGGAATTCGCGCTGGTGTGGGTCGAAGGATTCCCTATAGTTCAGCGAGTCTAACGTTTTTGGGAAATGGACACCTACTCTTGATTGAGAATGAAGCGCACGGAGTTGCCGATGGTGTGGTCCTCGTCGATCAACGAAAACGTCACGCCGGCCGTGCTGCGCTGCGCCATGCCGGGCCGGGCGGATGCAAGGTGCTACGGCCAGTGCTAAGCGCGGCGCTACTTAGAGGTTGCTGAGTGCGCGGGTGAGTCAATGCTCGCGGGGAGAAACGGCGAAACCTCGAAACAAGGCGAGCATCCAGTAGAGAAGAATAGCAGAAGTCGGGGGGTTTGATTGACCCGAACGCTGATCCAGCTGAGCCCTTTGTCGGAACCACGCACTCGCCGAGATCCGATCAGTCGACAGAGCCTGTATATGTGGGAGTCATTCAACGAAAGCCAAGCTCATCATATTCAAGTTTCACGAGAAGTAGGCAAAGCGGCAGAGCGCGAAGACGACTATGGGGTACTGAAGGTAGGAAGGCCGAAGTTCAAAGTCAGTGGAGCAGGAAACTGGGTGAGGTCGCTCTCTCAGAGCGCGTTCTTACTGCGTATCAAGCGCGCGTGTCAGCCCAATGCGGGTGTATTTGCCCCAATTATCCCATTATAAAACCACCAGAATTTTCAGAACTCTCGATGTTCCCAGTTAGCCATTACTTCAAAATTTCAGACCCGTTTGAAAAGGTATGCGCTCCCTGCTTTCGCAAGCACGCCCCACCTGCGCAAATTAGGGTTTCCTACCATCCCCCGCTCTCCCCCGCGCAACCTTGCAAACCCGCACTGCTACGAGCGAGTCGCCCATTCCTTGGCCAACCCCCTGCCAGTTCGTTCCAGCTCCACTTATTCCCCCTCATCTCTGCCGTGTACACGCAATCCTTCGCTTCGCTGGAATAGTACTTGGACCGTCGTTTCGCCTGTTTTGGATCTCGATTTCCCTGAGGGGGCTCCCATTAATGTAGGTCGAGGTGTGACGGCGGGCAATGCGGGCACGAGAAGAGGGGAAGAAGAGAATGCTCAACAAGCGACGCCGAAACAGCCGCAAGGGCGAGATGGGCGTGAGAGAAGTCAGGGAACGGGAGTTGCGCAGGAAGGGGGAGGGGCACAGGAAGGGGGAGGGGCGTAGGAAGGGGGAGGGGCGCAGGAAGGGGGAGGGGCGCAGGAAGGGGGAGGGGCGCAGGAAGGGGGAGGGGCGCAGGAAGAGGGAGCCGCGCGCGTGCGTGTGGAGAAGCGGGGAAACGCGAACGAGGGGAGAGAAGGGGGGGGAGCTGGTGTGCGAGTGAAGGAAGAATGCGAGGAAGTGGGTGGTGGTTTTGGGAATGAGAATCATAGTTACGGTAAGAAAAGCCGCTATAATCCTGTTGACGAAGGGTGTGCTTGTAAGGTGTACAAGAGGAGAGGCGCGGGTGTGGGCCATGCAGTAGCTGTGAAGGTAGAGGAACGAGAGGTGGCAGGTGAGGTGGCACGTGGTGAGGTGGCAGGTGAGGTGGCATGTGGTGAGGTGGCACGTGGTGACGTGCCAAACGATGAGGCAGTAGGTGATGACATGGCTGGTCCTGCAAGGATGCCTGGAGGCGAGGTGGCAGGCATGCACGGTGGAGTGGGTGTGGAGAGAGAGGAAGGCGAGGTGGATAGTGATGCGGTGGCAGGAGACTTTGAGGCACACAATGAGGCGACTCGAAAAAGGGTGGGAGGTGATCATGAAGCAGATGCCGAGGTGGCTATGCGTGGGAGGCTGGAGGAGAGGCCTGGGCAGATGGAGGGGAGAGTGAGAGAGGAAGAGGAAAGGAAAGTGAGAGAGGTGGAGAGGCAACTTATTGAGCTTACAGAGAGGGTGTGGAGGCAGGAAGCGGAGCTGAAAAGGGCGAAGGAAGAGGCTGAAAGAAGACGGCCGGCATTGTGGAAAGGCTTAGGAGGATGGAGGAGAGCGCGGGAGGGAAGAGTCGGCCATGGCAAAGAAAAAGGAGAGTGAAAGATTTACTGGTGAGTTGAGGGATCTACTTAGAAATATGGAGGAAAGGGTGATGGAGGAAGCAGCAAAGAGAATAAGGGCTGAGGAGAAAGCTATAGAGGCTACTGATAATGCAAAGAGGAGGGAAGGAGAATTGACTGGTGAAGTGCAGAAGAGTGAGAGGCTGATGGGTGAGTTGAGGGAGAGGCTTAGGGAGACGGAGGAGCGAGTGAGACTGGCGGAGGAGAGGAGGAAAGGCAAGGAGGTGCGGTACAAGAGAGAAGTACAAATGCTGAGAGATTTTGGAGGGTGCGAAGGGGAGGGAAGATGAGCTCAAAGGAGCGGTGAAGGAGTGCGAGAGGGCAGTGAGCAAGTTTGGGGAGAGCATTGAGGAGAAGGTTCGAAAGTTGTCGGAAGCAGCTGGGAAAATCCGAGCCAAGTGGCAGATGCTGCCGTTTTTTCCATCCTGGGAGAGGCTGCTGCTGGAACGCACGGCGGATGGCTCTGCTGCACCCAGCATGGTGGAGGTGTATCCATGCCTTCCATTTCTGCCGTGCCTCTTATCGTCGCATGCCTCATGTCCATCGCAATCTCCATGCCTGCCATAACCCGCTCATGCCTGTCCCTCTCTCATTTGTCATTCCTTGTTTTTTTACTCACTCCCCCCCTCCACCCCTGTCCCTCTCTCCCCTTCTTGCGTTTTCCCTTTCTCCCCTCTGTCTCGTTCCCTGACTCCCTAGCTCCCGCTCTTCCCTCTCTCCTCTTCGCTGTGGCCATCTGGCCCTACATTTGCCACGCCCTTTCCTCACGCCCTTTCCCCTTGTATGTGTCAGCCACTCCCTCCGCAAATTTATGCACCGCTTCCCCTCGTTTAACCCAGCCAACCCCTCCCCTCACAAAATCCGGCCATCCCTTCCCCCTTTCCTTCCTGTTTCACGCCTGGCAGCATCCAGCATCCCTCTCCGCCCATGCATCCGCCGTCAGAGCAGAGGGGTAGCAAGTGACTGCCAGCCCCACGCCCTCGTTGCCTCACTGACCCCTCCTTCATCCTGTTCTTGCATGGCAGGACCTCGGGGCCCTAGATCTGCATGCAGAGGCCGTTCTGGAAAAGGCAAGAGAAGCAAGGAGGGGAGTACAGGGGATTGGGGGAGCAAATGCAGTGGAAGATGGAGTGGAGCATGTGGGAGATGAACAGGGGGTAAGCAGCAGCATGTGACACCCGCTTGTCTCTCCCTTATTTTCATCTTGGAGCATCTTTCTCCCCTTCCATCTGATTGGTGCCGCCCTCCTGTGTTCCAAGCTCAAAGTTTGACCCTATAGCCGAGCTGCCCTAGCACCTGTTGTTGCATTCTTTCTTGATTCCTGTCCAGTATTGCTCCTTCCTCTTCTTCTCATCCTCTCTTCTCTCATGCCTTTTACCAGTTGTTGTTTTCGCTTCCTAATATGGAAATTCCTGTTTCTTTCCCTTTCGCCCCATTCGCGCACCATCCTTTCCCTCCCTCATCTCCATCACACGCCCACCTTCTCTTCCCCAGAAACAATCCCAGCCACTTGGAGCAGCAGTCAGTCAAGGAGTCGCTCCCACTGCTGATGGCAACAGCCAGGGAACAGACCCAGGCGAAGAGAATGGGGAAAGCATGGGCGAGGGGGATGCTGAAAGGGGGGGCGGGGAGAGCGCATCCGGGGGAGCACGTGGTGGGGAGAGAGGGATTGAAAGGGTGGCAGATGTAGCGGCTGGAAGTGAGCTGCTTGTGAGTGCAGAGCAAGGGGGCCAAGGGACTAGAGGGGCGGGCACGGAAGGGAGGCACAGAGAAACGGTGCAGGAGGTTATCGAATCCCTGCTGCGGCCTCTCCCTTAGGGTTGAGCAAACTACCCGACCGGGTCGGGTACCCGGTACCCGGACCCGCTTTTAGGGCGGGTCGGGTATTTGAAATCTTGTAAAATACCCGGCGGGTCGGGTCCGGGTTACCCCGGCGGATAATCGATACCCGCTACCCGAAATTCTACCCGACGAGGCGGGTAGCGGGTACCCGCCGGGTCGGGTATAACATACCCGAGTTCGGGTAAATACCCGAAGACGGGTCGGGTATACCCGACCCGATATCGGGTCGCGCTGCTACCCGTCGGCAGCAGCGCGACCTAAATTGCGGGGGGTTGGAAATCTCGACCATTTGGTCGAAAATTCCTCCCCAACTTTCCAGATCTACTTTCGTACAATCCCTACCATAGACGCGCCACCTTATTACAGCACCCGCATTAGTCTAAACACTCCCCGCATCCTAAAACGTGTTCTCCCAGCATTACTTAGGGTTTAGGTAACACAAAACGGAGGCGAGAACTTGGTTTCGCGTGGGAGTTAGGGTTTTGGAGATCTAGAGTTACATGAACTATTCGCCCACTCGAAATCCTTGCCGTAGCGCATAGTTTAGGGTTCGGAACTGTCCCATCATGCAGTTCTATGACCGTGACGGGCGTCCCGTCCCTTTCGGGGGCGGGAGGGTTGAGGGTGGCGGGCTCCAGAGCGGTGCCATGCCTGGAGCATCTCTGACAGGCCTCCCTCTCCCTAGCGGCCGCCAGAGTTTTGCCTTGGCGAGCGGTGTCCGTGCGGATGAGGGGGGAGAGGACGATGACTTCCTGGAAGAGGTGGAGGCGGGCAATGCAGGAGGGGGGGAGCATGGGGCAACCCATGGGGGGGGAACGGTGGGCAGGGTGGTGGACGGGGGGGGGGGGGGCGAGGGTGACCAGGAGTGGCATCCCAATGCGGAGGAAGAGGAGGACGAGCTGTCAGGAGATGGACCGGACAAGGGGAGGGGGAGGGGAAGGGGAGGGGAAGGGGAGGGCGAGGGGGAGGGCAGGGGAAGGGGGAGAGGGAGGGGAAGAGGTCGCGGCCGTGGTGGACCTGGTGGGGGGAGGGCAGGGGCGATTGGTGCCGGCAGTGGCACTAATAGTGCGGGGGAGCTGGAGGTCGGTGGTGGGGATGCAGCACGCTTTGGGGATGCTGAGGGCGTGGGGGAGGGGGGTCATGCGGAGTGTGGTACGCCTGCACCGGGGCGGCCTGTCATCCCACGTGGGGGGGGAGGGGGCACGGGTGGACAGCATAAGCAGTCGCGAGCGAGCGACAGCTCTCAGGTGACAGTCGGTTACTGGGGTACTGTCCCTGGGCTTATGCAGGGGATGTTCTTTCAGCCAGAGGGGGAGGATGGGGCGCGATGCTGCAAGGTATGCGAGGTGCCGATTGGTTGGGGTGAGAGAAGCACTGGTTCGGCGTGGAAGCACATGCGCTCGTTCCACATGCCTCACCTACAGATCTGGTATCGCCTATTCACTGATCCCAACAAGAAGCCGGGGTTGGAGTTTCCGGCGAAGGGGTACCCGGGGGTTCCAGGCGGACCAGACCCGTGGGAGCACGCTGACGCATACCCCGATCTCCCTGGTGCGGGCTCGGGCGGTTCGGTTGCGGGTGCCGAGGCGGGTCAACGGCAGATCCCTCAGTTCTTCGGTCGTCGCGTCACGCAGGAGCGTCTGCGCCATGCTCTT